CACCTCCTCTCTCTGTTTTACAAAGGTGATGACTATGGTTGTAACTCATTGCCTACACTGGTTAGACTGGTAATTGGTTGGTTAGTTTCAATAAACTGCTTCTCTCTCTCTCTCTTCTCTCTCTCTCTCTCTCTCTCTCTCTCTCTCTCTCTCTCTGTCTTTCTCTCTCTCTCTCTCTCTCTCTCTCCTCTCTCTCTCTCTCTCTCTTTTCTCTCTCTCTCTCTCTCTCTCCCTCTCTGTCTCTCTCTCTGTCTCTCTCTCTCTCTCTCTCTCTCTGTCTCTCTCTGTTTCTGTGTCTCTCTGTATCTCTCTCTGTCTCTGTCTCTCTCTGTCTCTCATCTTTTGTTACAAGAAATGACTCTAGGGAGAAAAAGGCAAAGGTACATATATGTAGGGAAATCAAGATGATATAAAAAACAAAAGATAAAAAGTTTTTAAAAAATATGTTTGACTTTAAAGCTATGTGACTTTGAGCAAGTTACTTCCCCTTTCTGGGTCTCAGTTTCCTCATTTCTAAAATGAGGAGATTGGACCAACTAAAGGGTTCTTCAGCTTTTTGTGTCATGGACCCCTTCAGTAAGCTGATGAAGCCTATTGACCATCCTCGAAATAACATTTTTAAATGTGTAAAATAAAATATGTAAGATTACAAAAGAAATCAATTAAATTTAAATACAGTTATCAATTAAAAAAAAAAGTTTAAATCCCAGGTTAAGAACCCCTGGACTAGCTAATCCTTTCTCATTCTAGAATCCTCATCCTATAACTAGAGCAGGCCTCCCAGTCCCAAGGTTAAGCCTATCCCCTGAGGAAGAGCAGACTCTTCTTGTGGATTGATTAAGAGCCTTCCCTGCTGCCCATGACTTTTTGGTTGACCTTGGCAGAACATGACAGGCTCAGATGTGAGGCTTTTCTGCTTCTTCTCTCAGAGGTACGTGAGTATAATGTTACACATCCAGGCAATGAATCTTCACCCACCTTTCCCAATTAAGAAACATGACAAAAGCCTTTTCTCAAAGCAATCTGCTGTTCATTTCAGTTTAAATGAAAGGGTGGGTGGGGGGGGAGAATTTTAACTGGCTGGTAGGCAGGCTGAAAGAGGATTTTTTTCCCTAATTAACTGACTGCCTGAGAGCTTCTTCCAATGAAACCATTGTTACCTAGGAATTCATATTTATGGAAATTATAAATTAATTAAAACCCTAAATCATCAGCAAGACATTTTATTCCTCTCTGCTGGGATTAATGAGGTGCATTTTTAGGGAATCAAAATCTCAGATGTAAACATCCATAATCCTTTCCTGCTTTACTATCCATGTTTCTGTAGAGGGCAGCACTGTTCCTCCAGGCACCCAGGTTCACATCATCAGTGCTTTAATGGTCTCTTCACTCTCTCTTGCTCCTCTAACCAATCAGTTGCCATGTCTTATCACTTCTACCTCATAACATCTCTCCCAACTGTATTCTTCTCCCTAAAAACTTTGCCACCACCCAGTTCAGGTCTTCATTTCCTCTCATCTAGACTATTGCAATAACCTTCTAATTAGTCTCCCAGCCATAAGTCTTTCCCCATTCCAATCTAACCTGCATGCAGTTGCCAAAGTGGTTGCCCCACAGCATAGGTTCAACTATATCATTCCCCTAATCAATAAACTCCAATGGCTCCTTATTATCTCTAGAATAAAATATAAATTCTTCTGTTTGCTTCTTAAAGCTCTCCACAAGCTGATCCCAACCTACCTTTCCAATTTTATTATGTATAATTCCCCTTTCCACATGCTACAGTCCTGTCAAAATGGCCTTCTTGCTACACCTGGAACACAACACTTCATCTCTCATCTCCACACCTTTGTACAGGCCACTCCCATGCCTATAATAAATTACCTTCTCATCTCCACATCTTAGAATCCCACATTTCCTTCAAAACTCAGTTTTTCCCATTCTATGCAACCACTAGTGTCCTCCCTCAGAAATTACCTTGTATTTCCTTGTATATATTTTGAATGTATTTAAATATAACACCTTGTCTCTTCCAATAGAATGTAAGACCCTTGAAGACAAATTGTTTCATTTTTATCCTTGTATCCCTAGCACCTAGGGCAGTGCCTGGCACATAACAGGAGCTCAATAAATGGTTGCTTATTGATTGATTTCATAGCATCATAGCCTCAGGACTGGAATGGAACTTAGAGATCATCTAGTCCAATTCTGTCATTTTGTAGATGAGGAAACTGAAACCCAGAGAGGGGAAGTTCTTGACTTACACACCACACAGGGAGTAAGTAGAGACAGCATTTGAACCATTGATCTGATTCTAATTCCAGCCCGCCTTCAGATGCAATAGCACCAGAAAACAGCAAACACTACCTTGCCTCCATATACACAGGTGACACACGCGGCTCATACAAGTGATGATGATTTGAGAGGCAGAATGATGTGGAAGAAGGAGCAATGGGTTTAGAGTAAGAAGACCTTGCTTTGAGTTCCAGCTCTGCAGTTTTCTATCTGTTTGACTTCAGTCAAGTCACAGACTTTCTGGGCTTCAGTTTCCTCATCTGCTAAATGAAGGGTCGATGACTTTTAAGGTCTCTTCAAGCTCTAAACCTGTAACTACTAATCCTGAGTGGAAGATCAGGATGAGAGAGAGACCCACAGGAAAACTTGACAAATGCAAATATGTGTGTGTGTGTACACACACACACACACACACACACACACATATATATACATAAATACATATATGTATATATACAAAATATACATATATATAATACATGAATTGTTACCTGGAAGTTCCAGTGACAAGGCAGAGTTCAAAAAACTAACCATGTGTGGCTAAAAATGTTTCTAAAATGCATTCTTCTTTACATAATGGAGGGAAATTGCCCTGAGCTATCTGTAGTTGAAATTAAAAGATTAATGCAATCCATGTGCCAATTCATGAATCACAATCCTCATTTAGAAAAATACCAACTGCATTATTTAACAAAGTAATGCCCTAATTATGTGGTGTGCCTAATTTAACCACAAAGTCCTAGTGAGGCCCAATTGTTTATTTTTCTCATTCTATTTGATGAATTTGACACTAAAGACAAATCATGAAGTCATATAAAATGAAGACTCTCTGATCCACAAATTTCAGAATGAAGGATCTCAGAGCTTGGCAGGAACCACTACAGAGATCATCTTCCAGCCCATCCCATCAGATACTGAAGATGCTAAGGGATCAAAAGAAAAGTAAGAGTCAGCCATACACCCTAGATTGAGAAGAGGAAAGGAGCAAATATTTACTATCCTCTCTGCACTCCTGCCACCATTTGTGAATATTAGTAAACAGCTTTGGGCCTGGTGTTTGGTCATTAGAGGTTAAGAAACTACAATAGGAATGGTTGCTAAATATAAATAAGCCCTATAAACTAGGCACCTCCACTTCTCTCACTTTCTTCTAAACTCTCTTCATCTAGCTTCAGATATCATCCAGCTGAAAGAACTCTCTTCAAAACTACCAATAATCTCTTAATTGTCAAGTCTAATGGACTTTTCTCAGTCCTCATCCTTCTTGACCTCTGTGCAACCTTTGACCCTATTTATCATCTTCTCCCAGGTTCTCTCCTGTCTAGGCTTTTGTGACTCTGCCCTCTCCTGTTTCTCCTCCTACCTATCTAACTGCTCCTACCGAATCCCATTTGACTATGATATTGGAAGCTAGATTGCAGAGAGTTTAGAGAGATGCAAATGAGATGGAAAAAAAGTAGAGACACTTTCCCTTGGCACCTTTTCACTGGCTGTCCTCCTTCACCACCCCTATGCCTGGAATATTCCTCCTCACCTCTACCTCCTGGTTCATTCCCTCAGGAGGCTGCTTAAATACCAACTCCTGAAAAAGACCTTTCCCATATTCCCCATTGCTGGTACTTCCTTCATCTGAAATTATCTCCTATTTATTCTGTATATATTTTGTATTTGTATAACTGCATTAAGTCCATTGGCATGTTAATTTCTTGAGGGCAGAGACAGGAGTCTTGCCTTTCTTTGTGAAGGCAGAAGCAATAGGGAGCTAAAATATGGAATGAATGTGCAATAGCTCCCCAATGGGTCTCCCTACCTCAGGTTCTCTCTTCTCCATTCCAACCACCATACAACTGCCAAGGTGATATTTCTAGAATACATCAGGCCATGTCCCCTTTACTATGGATGTAAGCCCCTTTAGAGAGGTATTATCATTTACACCTTTGTATCCCCAGCACCTAGCATACTGTCTGGCACATATATAGAAGGTACATTGGAAATGTTGGTTGATTGACAGTAATAGAATAGGGTGGAGAGAGGGTTAGAATCACCAAGGCAACTCATTCCACTTTTAGACAGCTCTAAATGTTATGGGTTTCTTTTTTAATATTGAGCTGATAACCGCCATCCTTTTACTTCTTTTTTTTCTTTTTTGTTTTTTTTTCATCATTTTACTTCTAAAACTTGCTCCTAGTTCTGCCTTCTAGGGAGGTCAAGCAAAGCAAATTTGATCCATCTTTCACAGTTAACATGCCTTTCTAAGTCTTCTCTTCTCCAGGCTAAACATCCCTACCTCCTCCAACTAGTCCTCATCTAGTAGTTTGCCAGGCTTCTCTCCATCCTAATAAACCTCCTCTGGAATAGCTTCAGTTAACAGTATCCTTTCTAAAATGAACCAAATACACTGCTCTAGATATGGTCTGACTGAGGCAAAGACCACCATGACAATGAGCTTCCTTGCTCTGGATACTCTGCTTCTCTTAATGTTATCTAAGATTGCTGCGTTTAATTTACCATTAGCTTTCATGCTTGCCATATTCTTCTGTTTATTTACATGGAACTTGCAGTCCAATTGTTCTCAGTAAATTTGTCACTAATGGGGAATGAGGATAAAGAATTTTTTCGTGTAACAACTGGGAGGTGATGGACAGGCAGAAAAATTCACAAAAGATGCCACGCAGGCTGGAATTTGTAAAAAGGAAAAAAAATACCCAACGTGGCTCTTCCTGCTGCTGCTCCTCCTCTTCTTCCCTCTCTCCTCCTCTCCTCAGTGCCACTGAATGAGGATCCGATGCTTCGGTCTTTACTGTTACAGGGAACCAGGGCTTCTGGAGTAACTATGAAGGATGAAGTAATCAAAACTTTTAATGACATGAAAGCAAGGAAATCTTCTACACAAGATCAAAAAAAAGAAAGAAAGCAGTTCTCTTGTGTTTAAGTGATGACAGAAAACAAATAATTGCAGAGGAAGCAAAGCAGATCTTAGTGGGTGACATTGGTGATGCTATAGAAGACCCCTACACATTGTTTGTGAAGTTGCTACCTCTGAATGATTGCCAGTATGCTTTGTATGATGCCACATACAAGACAAAAGAGTCTAAGAAAGAAGACCTAGTTTTTATATTCTGGGCTTCTGAATGTGCACCTTTAAAAAGTAAAAGATTTATGCTAGTTCTAAAGATGCATTACAAAGAAATTTACAGGTATTAAACACAAGTGGCTGGTAAATGTCTTGGAAGATATTATGGATCATTCAATGCTTGGACAGAAATTGAGAGACAAACTTGAAGGAAGACCTTTATAAAATGCCAGGAAAGTGCCATCTGGAAGTGGCTTCCATTTCTGCAACTCCATCAGTTGAAATACTGTTAGATTTTGTCCTTTACCATACCTTCCCTGGAAAAAAAAAATGTCAGTAATTTAAGCAGCCTACCAGTGGTTGCCATTAGACTGTTTCATCTTGGTAGTTATATGTTGAACCCAAAGAATGCCTTCACATCACATTTTAGCCAAAACAAATGGTATTATGTGCATCCCTTGTAGAACTACGGTGAATATGATAGTCAATATGAATATCTCAGAAAACTGCAGAAGTTAGCTAATTGAATTCCTTGAAAATATTGGTCACTGGTCAGATGCTAAGGGTCATTCAGTATTCCTTAGAACTGCACTTGATTGAAGTTCCTGAAGTTCTTGTGCTTTGTACACCTGACCTGCCTTTAAAACACCTACTATGACATAGCAGTATATATAATATATATATATATATACACATATGTGTGTGTGCATGCGTATATGTATATGTGTATGTATGTGTATATGTGTATGTATAAGTATATATACACATATATACACACACCTAAATATACATATATATTTATGTGTGTAACTATGCATTGAAAACACTTTTATATAATAAGGTTGTCTCCCTCAAAAAGGAATGCCAATTAAGTTGTCATAACTGTCATCAAATTATTGTAGTACCTCAGTATTCATTCCTGTTATCTACATATCTTCCTAAATGAAGTACTTGTTGATGCCTTTTTGTTTTCCATTGAATGTACATTACAGAACAGGAGTAGGAGTTAAGTGTTTACCATGTGAGCCTTGCAGCACTAAAGATATTTTGAACAATGTGGTGATAATGGCAATTTCTGTGTGAACAGAGTCTTAAACAGAAAATTGTTTGTAAGATCAAACTTCCCACCCCACACTGCAATAAAACCTGTGGCTTATTACAAAAAAAGAAAAAATAAATGATCCATCTTGTACTCGTTCACTATTTGAGACAAAGAAGTTCCATTCTTTTTCTCATATGCATTCTGTATTTGAGCTTAATTAGGAAGGCACACATATTAAATGCCAGGGTTCTGGCAATTACTCAAGAAAGGTTCAGAATGATTAAGAAGGCTCCTGCTTCTGAAATTTCTCAGGTCAAACAAATTAATGTCAAGGCAAAGCTAAGGACATTCTGGAGCAAGGGCCTACATAGCTGCAGATTGTATTTGTCCAGTCAATATAGAAATACAACAAAGTCTCAAAAGAGTCACAGGCTCATTTAGCTGTGTCCATGATTATGGTGTAGCAGAATCAAATAGAATCAACTGATCAACAAACATTTATTAAGAACCTCCTACATGCACAGTCATTGTGCTAAGCACTGGGGATACAAAGACATAAAAAAAAAGGAAGAAAGGAAGAAAGAAAGAAACAGCCCTGCCCTCTAGGAGCTTTTAACAGAGGAGACACTATGTACATATATGTTAAGTATATACATAATATACTGAGACTTCATCCAGCAATGGCTTTCTGCAATTTTGTAATATTTAATGAAATTTTCTTTAAAGGGATACAGCACTCTCCTAGGCTGCTAAGTGGCACCATAGTGCAAAGAGTGCCTGGCCTGGAGTCAGGAAGCCTCATTTTAGTGAACTCAAATCTGCTCTCAGACACTTACTAGCTGTGTGAACCTGGGCAAGTCACTTAACCCTGTTTGCCTCAGTTTCCTCATCTGTAAAATGAGCTGGAGAGGGAAATGGCAAACCCCTACAGTATTTTTGTCAAGAAAACCCTAAGATCTGGACACAACTGAAAACGACTGAACAACAAATAAGTACATTCTCCAAGTGAAAGTGACAACTTTTGTTTTAGCAAGCAAGCAAGAACAATATTCTTAGTTATTGCAGAAGCCCGTTGGAGTTCCTTACAAAAAGGACAGTATTACTAGTTTACCAAGCCATACACACACACACACACACACACCCTCCACCATCTGCCACCATTCATTTTGAACCTAAATTTTCTCTTCACCAGAATGATAGCAGAGCAAGGTTTTACTAGCCTCATACCCTCTAATCCATCCTCCTCAGCCTTGCATTTATTAGGCTGTTCATTGAAAGTCAGAGGGAAATAAAATAAAGAGACAATTTTAATTTCCTGGACAGGAAGGCAGAGTTCAACCTGTGGACAAATTAAGATGCAGAGATACCTCATCTCGACTGAAGCTACAAAATGAATTAGATGTATTGTAAGGTATTTTTAAAAGCATAAATCATTATTATTTATTCAATCAATATGTACTGAACATCTAATGTGTGTGAGACCTTTTGACTGGGTTCTGTGGGGGACACAAAATAGAATGAGACATAGTCCTTGAAGTTAAGAAGCTTATAATCTAAAAGGAGGTATGAGATCCATAAAAATAACACATTCCTCTTTGTGCACCACCTTCCACCTCTTTCTCTGAGAACTGTAATTATATCCCCTCAACCACTGCCTCTGGAAAAGGCATGTTGTTGGACTGCTCATTGTCCTACCCACCACTTCTGTGACCCCTCAGATCCTAATTCCCTTCCCTGGCCACTCCTCCCCTTATGTGTTGTCTTCCCCATTAGAATGTAAGCTTCTTGAGGGCAGAAACTGTTTCCTTTTTGTATTTATGTCCTTCAGCACAATGCTTGGCACATGGTGCTGAAAAATATCTTTCATTCATTTGTTCATTCAATCCATTCCATTTTAAAAGCCCAACTCAAATTCTGTTAGCTCCATAAAGCCTTCACTAATCACCCCAAATAGTCTTGGTTATGACCTTGGACTTCAAGGAGAACTTTGTTTATACAACTTTAATGCATTCTAGGTATCTGTGCTTTATATACCTTCTAGACTGTATGATCAATAATAGCAGGGTTTATATCTTATACAAAGTTTGTCCCTTAGCAGTTACCTACTGTAGTATTGTATGTGCAGAAGGTGCTAAATAAGTCTATTTTTATTTATTTTATTTTTAATTTATGGAGTAAAACATTCATTTCTATAGAATAATATAATTTTTAAAAGATGATTGCACATGAAACTGAAAATCTATTACATACAATTTGCTATTCTGTTTAAATATATTATGAAGTTATCATGTAATTTTTTTCCTTTTTTCCTCTCCCTGTCCTTCCCTAGAAATGGCTACCAAACAAATATGCATATATATGTAAAATTGTTCTATACATACTTCTACTTATCAGTCCTTTCTCTGGATGCAGATAGTGTCTTCTTTCATAGGTCCTTTGTTAAATAAGGGTCTATTAAAATGAATGTGTAAAGGTGAAGATTGATTGAGCCAATCAATCAAATCCCCCTCCACTTATAGTAACCAATAATGCTATGCCCAGATATTTTTATCAAAGGTATGTCTCCATTGTTGTACCAAATCAGAGGTATGAATTAGTGTGAGGAAAGCCTAAACATCTCTAGTGTTTACACCTCTAGTGTTAATCCATCACTCAAAGTCATTAGACTAAATAGAAAAGTCCTTGATCATTTTAGAAATCCTTAAAAGTCATTGGATGGGAGGGCAGATTGGGGGAGGGCTAATCAGAAGCAAACACTTCTGAGGTGGGACAGGGTCAAAACAGAGAATAGAATAAATGGGGGGCAGGATAGAATTAAGGAAAATAGAGTTAGTTTTTTTGCAATGTGACTACTATGGAAGTGTTTTGCATAACTACACATGTATACCTGTATCTTGCTTGCCTTTTCAATGAGGGTGGGTGGGGAGGGAGGAAGGGAGAAAATTTGGAACCCAAAGTTTTAAACACACATGTTAAAAAAAAATTGTTTTCACATGCAACTGGGAAATAAGAAATACAGGAAATGGGATATAGAAATCTATCCTGCCCTACAGGAAAATAGAAGGGGAAGGGGATAAGAGAAGGGGGGGTAGAGATAGAAAGGAGGGCAGGTTAGGGGAAATGGTATTCAGAATACATGCTATCTTGGAGTGGGGGGAGGGACGAGAAGGGGAGAAAATTTGGAACTCAAAATCTTTTGGAAGTGAATGTTGAAAACTAAAAATAAATAAATTTTTAAAAATAAAATAAAGAAATTATGAGTATTAAGAATTTTTTTAAAGTCATTGGATGAACAAAAGGCTACTAATGTCTCCCTCTCAAAATTGCCTTGTATTTTTTAAATAGAAGTATTCATGTATTTGTTGCCTCCCCAACAGAATGTAAGCTCCCTTGTGTGGTGTCCAACCTATTTTTCTTTTCAGTCATTTCAGTTGTATCCAACTCTTCATGACCCTATTGGGGGGGGGGGTTGTTTCTTGGAAGAGATACTGGTGTGGTTTGCCATTTCCTTCTCCAACTCATTTTACAGATGAGGAACTGAAACAAGCAGGATTAAGTGACTTGCCCAGGGTCACACAGCTAATAAGTGTTTGAGGCCAAATTTTAATTTCTTTCTGATTCCAAACCCAGTGCTCTATCAATTACACCATCTAGCTGCCCAAGGGGCTTAATGAGGAAGTCCTACCATATCACGCACACTCATTCAACAAACTCCT